TTCTGTTACATTCCATTCCACTAAATTAAAACATGTGGGAATTAGTCAATCTAAAAATGAAAGAATATTACCGAACTCCTTCTAGAAATAATTAGCTTAACATAAGTACATTTGCTGTTTCCTTCTATGCTCTAAATTAGAAACTTCATAATTAAGGCAATAGAACTATAAGTAATAAAGAATGTAAGATGGAATATTGTAGTATTAATCATCTGCTGTAGAAAAGTTTGCTAGGCGTAACATTCAGCGATATCCCGTTAGCATCCGGAAACAATGAAACGATGACTTTACCTATACATTGTAGAACAATAGCTTTAGGGTCTATCGTAAAACAAAGGTTGCCATGGTGACGAAAGATAGTTTAAGAAATTTTATTATTTGTTTTTATAATGGGCCATGCGGTTGTCAACATGCATTAGAGCGATTAAATTTGAAACTAAATGTTTTATAACGAGAACCTAAAATCGCTTGATATCGAAACAACGATCCCCGCTTCAGTCACCCTCTTCTTCGGCCAACCATATCGAATATTAAACAGATGATATAACTAACTTACAAGTTGTCTGTTTTGAAGATCTTTCTTCAATAAAATATTGTACTAAAAATTTATGATTAGAGTCCGTCATATCAAAATAAAAATAAGGAGATTTGGTTTGATTGTCAATGATATAACTTATCAACTAGATATCTAATCACGTGATTATACACATCTGTTGGTCACCGTACGGTTTTGATAATGAGCAACACCCATACCGTATAAAGTAAGATATAACAGGCTTCAACATGACATAACGTAGAACAATTAAAATGAAACAACAAACGACTTGATTTATGATACATATATCAGCGAAAAACAAATATGACAAACTGCAACCATCAAATACCACTGATTTACAGGCTCTTAACACGCAACAGATACATAAAGAATGTGTTTTAACAGCAGACTATAAGAATAAACTGCAAAATATAATTAAGAGTCTTGGAGTGTTTTTAGTTACTAGAAACTAGTTCAAAGACGATCTATCATGTTTACCCATACTTAAATATCGATCAGTGCACATACATCCAACGAACTAAGACAGTTTGAGACTTCTTAAACAGCATGAGAAAAACTTGACCGTGTACCATGTAAATATATAAGTATTGCATGATGATATGCGACCATAAGTACAAATGTATTCATATCTGTATAGCAATACACAATTAGTTATGTTTTTTTTATCTATAAAATTATGCAGTTGTACTGAAACAAAGGCTGATAATAAGTCACTTGATGGTAAAGTTGACCGCAGATGGTTTTTGGTTGTCTAAGTGAAGAACGTTTGTTTTTAAACTCGATAAAGGTTTTGTATTTCAATAGTTACCCACACCTTTGGTCGAATCGGGAAGGTGATTTCTATTTAATATGTCTATTGAGTGTTAATATTTTCATGCGCATTAAATCGGCATTAGACATTGACATTAAATGACAACCACTAGGTCGATAGCACAGTAGGTGATCAGTCAATTCCATAGATGGTATTGCTAAGTTACTGACGTTATTTGAATGATAATTGCTAATTTTCAATCAATAAAATTAGGTTATGTATTAAAAACAGCTCTGTTAGGCTAAATTGACATAATTCTTTTAGTGGCAAGGTTATTTTATCATCTGGTATACTTGTTACATTCAGTTCCTCCAACATATTTTTTAAACAAAAATGCTCCCTGTAGTGCCAACGCTAAAATGCGTTCGACTCTTTTCACTATATTACATTTTAGCATTTTAAATGACAATGTTTATTTTTTTTGTCATAGATGTTTACGTTCACAGTATCACAGCTCCATGTGTGTATATTGTGTTAAGTTTTAACACAATAATGGCATATTTCTAAACAGACATCAAGTAAAAAATGTCTGAAGACTGCATTTTTTTGTTTTTTTATTAAAATATATACAAGACGAACTTCCTTACTTAAAACTTAAAGCAAATGTATGTTGGGAGCAAAGTCGTATATTGTCTTTTGTAAACAAATTAAATCATTTTGGAAAGAAGCGTTCTCTAATGTCAGATTTTACATAAACATGTATAATTTACATTTGTAGATCAAATACTTTCCATTTGTTTTAGATATATATATTTGAAAAATATGATATAGACTTAAATATTTCATTTACATTGGGGTTTGACAACTTTTATTTTGACTCAATGTGTAAAAACAATACAGGGGAAATTAGTCCTAGCTCTTTCATTGAGTTCGCGTGTGGTTCTAGGATTGTTGGGGATTACATAACATACCATATACTTTGTTTTTGTACAAATATCTAATTCGCCTTCTATACAACAAGTAGACAACTTCACTGGGCTATTATAAAAAAAATTAATGAAAAGTTATTTTGTATATATTTTTTAAATGTTAAGTGTCCCGAATGCAAAACACTTATTAATGTGTAGTAGGCATTTTGATTGAAAGTGATATGTTACACTCATCTTGTAGCTATAAGGCTGTTTATAAGGTTGGCAACTTCAGGAAATGTCCTTTCAAATAATCTTATTGCTGAATTAATCGAATATACTGATAAGAGTCATGATGATACTGTTGTACATGGTATTTTGTATTATTTCGCAACATGGAGTTTATCTATCTGAATATTTCTTGATGTTCTGGTACTAATGAAACGGGGATTTTCACTGATATACCTGTGTCAGTAGAGTGTTTGTTAACAGCGTGTGCAATATTGTTGTTGAATAAAAACAATAATAATTTGCTAATGTTCGCCAGTAGTTTGAACCATATCTTACATGCACATCTATTATATGTTGTGGAAAACTTCATGTTGACCATTAGATATCTCTTGGTTATTTTTGTCGTAGGGTTACGTATACCATATATATCCTTTTATTCGTTTCTTGTCAAATGATCGGCAATTACAGTAGCAAATTATTCGGTAACAATTAAAGGGTCATTATAATGATGTTTTCCTGCAAACCGTACACCATAAAAAGCTTTGCATCCAATCCTTTTAACATTTCAATCAGGCACTTTCCTTTAGACTTTTTTATAAGAACTTCATATTGTATCTTAAACTACGTTATGACACCTGGGTATATTTTTAAAAGCCGATTGTCGATTTTCAATTCCTTGATTTTAATGTTATGGTATTTTCTTTTTATTTGGTGTACATTACTTAGTAAAAGAGGGACGAAAGATAACAGAGGGACAGTCAAACTCATAGATCGAAAACAAACTGACAATGCCATGGCCAAAAATAAAAAGACAAACAGACAAATAATAGTACAGATGACACAACATAGAAAACCAAAGACTAAGCAACGCGAACCCCACCAAAAACTGGGGGTGATCTCAGATGCTCCGGAAGGGTAAGCAGATCCTGCTCCACATGTGGCAGCCGTCGTGTTGCTTATGTTATTACAAATCCGGTAAATAGTCTAATTCGGTAAGTCACATTCGTGAAAAGGGAAGGGTATTGTAGTTACGACATAAGGAACATTATGATACATAAGTAAGTTATTAGTGCGTATGTTTGACGGAATGACATATCAGAATTCAGTGAACGTAAACCATTCATAACTTTTTTGACAGTATTATAGGGATCATTTATGTCATTTAAGGTTAACTTTCACCCCCACTATAGGGATTTATGTTGAAGTATGATTGCATTTATTAAATTGAAAAAGAGGATATAGCACATCCATCTCTTTACATTAATATTATTTATAATAAAAATGAGTTTAGAAATTGTTCCTCAAATCTAACTTTAAAATGGCCTTCCAATTGTTTTGAATTGAGCGTGAATGATGAGTCTTATGTAGACGAAACGTGCGTCTGGCGTACCAAATAATAAGCCTAGCGTCTTTTTAAAACCACTTGGTCGATGCCAATGCTCGTGGACGTGTCTTCCTCGAGGGTTTCACATGCCCAGTAGTCAGCTCTTTATGTCGACATGGATTATCCTTTAACTGTCAATTGATATAATTATTGTCTGTAAATTTACTGTGTTCTTACCAACATGAAAAGACTGCATAGTCTTTGTTTTGATTTGACCTTTCCAACTGTTTTGCTTTGAGCGTCACTGATGAGTTCTATGTAGTCGAAAGGCGGATCTGGCGAAATAAATTATAAGCCTAGTATCTTTGATGATTTTTTGTTTTTAGGTTTAACGAACTTATTGATGAAAGTGACATGATTTAACTGCTGTTATTCGTTGATTGTGTCTTGTGTTTGCCTGACCTAATTCAGTTAGCTTTTTCTTAATTTGAAACAAGATCTAGATATTTCTTTAATTGTTTTCCATATTTTGATTCTGTTAGAATATGTTTTAGTCATTACAAAACCGTGTTTTATCACACTGTTTATGACGTTGATGTATGCAATATTTATTTCGAAGTACAGTCGCCGATAATGTAATGTTGGACAGCATGATGTTATTGCAACACATAATATATTTTGAAATTGCGTATTATTTGAGATTTTGTTTGTGTGTATATTTGATTAACTATTACCGGTACTTCATAGTAAATTAATTATTGTAACCATAACGTATTGAATATTTTGTATGTACCATTTGTCATTCCACTGATCAAAAATGAAATTATTGGGTTTGAGTGTTAATAAAACTAGTTTTTCCGAAGTTTAGATCCTCATCTTTTGTTGTCTGTGGTCCTACATATACCTGTTGAGCTTATTTCAATCTTCCTTTACACGAAATGAATCATATTGTTGCCAATTAGAGACTACCGAGTATGCAATGAATATTCTACATAATTTATACTTAACGTATAAAGTATGGGACAAATAGAATGCATGTCTTATATTGGTGAAGGAACATGCATAACATTCAAATTGGATTATCTCTTTTTTATCAGAAAAACTTTCAATCTAAAAATACCGCAACACTTAAAATACATAATTATGTACGTCAGACAGGTTGAATGTGTACGTATATTATTTATCGCGGACGTCACCAATGTGCATTGTAAAATTATAACAACAACTTCGAATGTTAAATTATTTATATATTTAAAAAGATGTAAATCAAATCCCCCAAAGTCTATAAAACACGCAAAATCCACACAAAGAAAAATCTACATAGTTTCGCGCACTGATATCTAAGTCCTGGCATATTTTTTTCATTTAAATTGACACGATATAAACGACATTTCACTAGAGGATAAATAAGTTGGGCTTTTAATTATTTTCTAAATACTTTCTTTACTTTTAAAATGTACTACATATGTTGTTGCTCCTGAAATTTGTTCTCTTAAGATGATAATAGGTATATTTTTTAAGAGTCTGAATCATATAGGCTGGGTCGATATCGTATACGAAGGTTATAAACAACGCTTGTCTAAATATATGAACAACAACATTGTATATTTGTTTGGTAAGAAGTAACAATTTTAAACCGAATTTTAAAGATTTAACTAAATGAAAAACTTCTGCAAAAAAGTATTTGTCAATCGTCTACCCAATTCGCAATGTGTTAAACAAAGACAGAAAGATAAAGAAAACGCTCTAAGCGACATACATGTTTTATACCCAATTTGTCAGCAAAATACTAGTACTCTTGATCAAGAATGCGATTGTACATGAAATTAAAAAAAGAATGTAAAGTGTGTTCATATTTGTTAATAAAAAACTACAAAAAACAGATTTGCTAAAATTGTGCATAGTTTTTTCATTGGAATAAACAACACAAAATTGCTACGCGGAAATAAATGTCATCCAAAAGCTTCTCTCAAAAAAAAGGATATGGTCAAACGTTGTGACTATATTTGTTACTAGTCTATTTGCTGCGTATTGATGAAGATAGCCAACAACCGCCGTAAAAACAGTCAACTCAAAATGACAATAATATATTGTTAACAAGGGTACCATGACAGATGTCTTGCAAACCATATAAGAGGAGTGTCGGTCAAAAATGTGAAACAATAGCTTAAAAAATAGACAAAGTCCCATAACAGAAACAATAATTTCTAAATCAAAAAATGATGAAAGAGTACACATAACGACAAACAATCTTACAAGGTATGAAAAGCTTTCTGGAAAAACATTGCATATTATTTGCATTGGCATTATTATCGTGAAACGATAACTATCCTCTAACTCTCGCAAGAGTTGTCAAATCTAAATGACAGAAACATTCTCAAATCAAGATGATGAAACAAACAGTATGGTTAACTACAAATGATATAAAAATAATTCCATCAATTGCGGAATTGTTTTGCCAAACAGTTTAAAGGTCTAATATTCATAATAAATGATTGTGCTACAATATAATAGTAATATGCACAGGATTTAGTAACTCCCCAAAAAAACCATGTCAAATCGTATAGTTATGTCAACGATACATTCAACCTCAAAGCAGTTGCTTCCGTGTGTTACAATATAAACAATAGTCAAAACAAATCGTCACAATTTCCATAACCCTAGAAAAAAATATCAAATCAAAATGATGTCACGGAATGGTCATCTTCACATGATAAACGATCGTACTAAGTAAGCGAGCTTTCTGTCTCAGAGGAATTGCATCTAAAGGAGAATCAATGAAAAATAGATCGATCCAAAAGGTGTGATTGTATGAATGACCAATACATGAATAATTTGATCTGATTAGAATTATATCACTTAAATAAGAATAGCCCTTTTCATCCCGTCTACTTTCAATTTGATTAAAATAAATTCTTAGTAGATATACATACACAAACAGATAATATATGAGAAGGCATAAACAAAAAAGACATTTATCTATTTTTCCTACGTATTTACCTTTGGGCTTCCAACAACTTCCAATAATGCAATACTACAAAATCTGCCAAAAGCATCATTTTGCGAACTTGTCATTAATATGAAGATGTTAAGCGACAGCTTTACTTAAATTGAATTGTGCTACAATATCTCTTATACATAGAGAATGATGTAGGTAAAATATCGTTTTGGGCTAAGCTGTGGCTCATTTTGATTGCGGGAAAACAATATACAAATGAAACATTTTGGTCCAATATTACACATTTGCGTAAACAATAGTACACACATGTTGGTAATTTTGTCATCATTATTTCATTAAATCCTAATGATTTGATGAAATTATAATGACAACACACCTTACATGTGTGTACTATTGTCCAGACTAGTTCCTATTGTTCATTCATCAGTCACATTAAACATTTTGAAAGTATTGACGAATTTCACTATTTACAATTTAAAGGACAAAACAATTTATCAAGTCAAACATATTCGTGTAATATGTGTCCTCAAATATAAACAATTCCGAATGTTACTGTACAGAAACATTAATATATTAAATTATTGAGATGTACAGTATTCTTTAGCTGTTGGCCTGAAATAAAATCACTGAAATTCATTTCACTGGAATTCAACAACTGGTTTCTGTTGAGTTCTCTGCATACTTGGTAAGACAGGCCTACAAAAGGGAATCAAATTGTTAAAATATTTGCTGCGACGATGCATTTTGTTCATTATCATACACACAATGTTTCATGAACATCTTTTCTGGACTATTAATTAACTTGAGAGGTATTTAGTACTTTGGAGAAACTGGACATGCTTTGTACAAACGCACACAATAACATATGTATCACATCCAAGGAAATAAAAAGCTGAAACGTTAAGTTTAAGTTTACCGAACCCACACACACTCACACAGATAACTTTTGGGAACTGTTTACGAAGATGAAAGATGGCAAAGTCAAGAAAAATTGATTAAAGGTTCATATCTAAAATTTAAAATTAACACTTCTTATATTTGGTTTTATCAACATCGAGTACTCTCAATTTCAAACATTTGAAGCTAAGAATGTTTAATTATTTAATACGTATGGGACTATTTTACCAAGAAGACTTATAACACATAGCATAATTAATATATTAAAGAAATGTAAGTTATAAATGATGTCCATAGCAAAGCACTGACAACTAAACAAACTAAGTTGTTAAAACTACGGTAATATCTCTCTATAAAAATAAGGAGATGTGGTATGATTGCCAATGCGACAACTATCCACCCAAGTTCAAATGAAATAGATGTCAGCAATTATAGACAACCGTACAGCCTTCAACAATGAGAAAAAAACCATATCGTATGGTCGGCTATTGAAGACCCCGACATGAAAAATATGAAACAATTCATTTGAGAAAACTAACGGCTAATTCATAACAAAACAATTTAAAAAAAAATATGACGGACATGAACCAACGACAACCATTGAACTGCAGGCTCCTGACATGGGACAGTCACATAAAGAATGTGGCGGGGTTAAACATGTTTGTGACCGCTCAACCCTCCCCTAACCTGGGACAGTGGTGTTACAGGCACAACATAAGAACAAACTATTAAAATCAGTTGAAAATGGCTTAACTCATCAGAATGAAAATCTAACAAAAACACGCACCGGACGTGGCAGAGTATTTATACATCCATAACAAAAAAAAAAAGACAAAAAGTACAGATCTGAGAGTACTCATAGTTACTGACAGCTAGTTCAAAGCCACTAACAACTTATATAAGAAATCATGTATCTAAGACTAATATATCAATCAGTACACCTCCAATATCCAATGGAATTAGTGTAAAGACGTACTAAGAATCAGTGAAAAACATGACCTTGTGCAATACCAAAATATAGGTATCAACAGATTTCAAAGTCAAAGTGCATATGTGTATAAAAATACTATTTAGTATGGTTTTAATCAACTGATAATAAAAGTCAATATTCATATAAAAAATACGATATTCAAAGATACCCATATGTAATGACTTAGTTGAATTCGCCTCCAAAAGTCAAACTGTAATCAAAAGTCTTTCATGTAAATATACCATTTTTTAAAATTAATCATTTAAGTGTTAAATATCTTTGGAATATCAACAGCTAGTAGAATTCGTTCTAGTTTAACAATGTTCAAATCTCATAATTTAAGAATAAGGAGATGTGGTATGATTGCCAATGAGACAACTATCCACCAAAGTTCAAATGAAGTGAATGTAAGCAATTATACGCAACCGTACGGCCTTCAACAATGAGAAAAACCCATACCGTATGGTCGGCTATAAAAGGCTCCGACATAAACCCATTAAGAAGGCAAATCAATGTAGCAAACATAAACTGAGGGAATCGCTTGAACTCAAAAAGGAACGTGACAGAGTGCGTAGACAAGGTAAGTATCACCCGCTATCACACTCAGTCAAAATGTCACAGGTCTTTTATAATAATGTACTATATCACAATAACCTTTTCATTTCCCTTTACAATAGAACTCAATTATCACTTTTGTTGCAAGCTTAGAAGAATTTGTTTATCAATTAACCTGGCATATTCAACGACTAGTGTTCATTCAGTTAATATTAGACAGTCAACGCATTTGTTCAAACTGGAATCAACGATATCCGTGTGTTCAAAAACTATTCGAAAGGTATTAGATAAACCGTTTCTTTGAAGTGTCGGCTATCTTGACAGTTGTGATTAATCGTTTTTTTTTATTCACTACAAATAATCTTGTAAAACATACCTTTTCCCATTTAATAGAATACTGTCAGTTGATTTAATCAATTCGTAGTTTGTATCTAATGAATTCTGGATAATATTATCAACAGCGTTAGCCAAAACGTTAAGATTCGTTAACAAGTTCTAAACAATTGAAATCCTACCAATGACATGACGTTCTTTTCATTTTGGAGAACGAATAATGAAATTAATAAGTCTTTTAGATTCTGAAATGGCGAAATACATCAATTTGTTTTGGTTTTCAGGGGCAATAAGCTACTTAACTTGGTCGAAACACGACCAAAACTGAACTACATTGATGTGGACGACATTAAAAATGCAGGTTTACCGTTTATCTTGTTTTTGATTATATGCGTTTTGTTCCTCACGAAAAATCATTTCGCCATAAAGTCTATACGATTAAAGAAGAGGCCTGTTCGGCTACATCGAAAATTATGAAATCAAAATAATTTTAGATTGTGTAATGTTAATAGATGGAGATGATGTTTTTGATTATATTATATGGAAATTCATTACTTTACAAACATACAACTATAAAATTAAGACATGTTTTATTATGTGAGAGTATATTCCTTATACTATCAATTACTTTGGTTTTGCGAAGTAAACAAGAATAAAACAATCCAAATAAAATGTCCTTGAAAGTAGAAGAAAACTCAGTTCATCCATTAAAACATTCGTATCATGATGATACAGACTTAACTTACGACAAGAAGCGCATTCAAATGTTATCATAATCCAATTGAGTTTAAAAACTGATTATAAAAAAAAAATATATGAAAAAATAGAATTATGGTTGTGTATTAAAAAAAATTTAACCAGCATAGTGAAATTTCAATTTAGTCACAATACTAGACGATCCCATTAAAATTTCTTTTCATATGTTGTCCATGTGTTAAAGAGAAAAAATGACAATGTATAGCTTACATCTTCGGCATATGGTCTTTGGTAGATAGATGTCTCATTGGCAATCATACCACATCTTTTATTTTTAATGTATATAGCTTAAATGTTTGATAAACAACTAAATATATCACACCGTATCTGTTGTTTTTTTCATAAGCCTTGCTCTCGTCACTTTCACTAATATCATTACAGCAGTTACAACAATAGCCAGTCCAACAAATGTTCCAACCAGTATCTTCACCAAAGAAGTAGATTCTGTAATGTGAATATGTGTAAGTCAGTTATTTATAATCACATAATATTTGACTTAAGTAAACAGCAAACGAACTGCATCCAACGAATATTATTACCTTCCAAGCTGTTATGAGGCTTTAAGGAGCATTGTCTGTGATGCTGCATGACGCGCTTTTATTCAGGTCAAATTTAATTTGACAACGCAATTGTCTTCGTACTTTCATTTTCCTTTTTATAGATATAAGAAGGTGTGGTATGAGTGCCAATGAGACAACTCTCCATCCAAGTCACAATTTGTTAAAGTAAACCATTATAGGTCAATGTCGGCCTTCAACACGGAGACTTGGCTCACACCGAACAGCAAGCTATAAAGAGCCCCAAAAATGACTAGTGTAAAACCATTGAAACAGGAAAACCAACGGTCTATTCTATATAAAAAACGAGAAACACTTATGAACCACATCAACAAACGACAACCACTGAACATCAGGCTCCTGAGTCAGGACAGGCGCAAATAAACGCCGCGGGCTCAAACGCTTCAACAGGCGCCAACCTTCACCCCACCTAAAACAATAGTGAAACATCACAACATAGAAAGACACACTATAAAATATCAATTGAAATGGCTTAACTCAATCAAAAGACATATTAAAAAAAAACAAGTGAACATACACTGAACGAATAAATTTGAACTATGGCACAATGTAAATACAAAATAAATAAAACAAGTGGGTAAGATGTAAAACAATATCAGAAGAAAGTCAACCATAACATTGGACAAAATGCCACCAAATAAAATAATGTTCCCAGGTAAATAAAAATAATTTTGTTGTAAGGTATACATGGAGTACGGAAATAAATTTGACAAAATAATGTACTTTACAAAGTCTTTCCACTTTCAATGCCTTGTCTTTTTGTATTTGGCCATGGCGTTGTCAGTTTGTTTTCAATCTGTGAGTTTGACTGTCCCTTTATCCCTGTATCTTTCGTCCCTCTTTTGCAGATAAATCAAAATTACTGAATATTTCATGGAATTCACGAATAATAATAAAAACATCTTTTTTCCAAACCCTGCTACACCTTTTATGTTTCATCAGCTTATTTTAGTCCCGATCATTTAAACCGAAAACAGTTACAAAATAGCGTTGCTCATAATTTCGAATTCATACTTTAAATAATAATAAAAAGATGACTAATGACTGTCTAATTACAGCTCTTCTAAAATTGTTTGGACTTCTTTTGTTATCTCTAAATTATAAATTATGTATTTAATTATCAAAACTTTCTCGCAAAAAAAGACCTTAGTTCTATTGCAAAATATAATACCGACTTCAAGTACAAACCTTCTAATTGTATTAACAAAAGATTGCAATTATGCATAAAACGGCTTGTCTCGTTATCATTTTTGAAGTTAAATACAGTAGAATCGTCTGGAAAGCGCAACATTCTATTGATTTGAAGAACATTATGTACGATGTATATATTAGGAAACTGTTAGGAGTTATACCAGACATTTAACAGATAGGAGAAAGGAATGCAGACGCATTTTTGCCTAGCTGACATGCACGCATTATCTGTGGCATAAATGACTACGATTATGTTGATTTGTCCAGTCTATCTTCACCGGTTGATTTCTCATTGTCAGTCATCGGATTCACGTCGTAATCTAAAATGCGATAAATACTGGCGGACCTGGAACTAGGGCACCTATATTAGCAATATTTTGGAGTTATTCTGTTTACTCATACGTTTCTGCGTGATGACTTGCAAAATACATTCATCGTTTTTTCTCGTCTTTATTTTTTGTTTACGTTTTTGTCTGGTCTTTTCTTGCTAATACTTCATTGGCTGTTCATTATTTATATTTTTTACTGAATAGTATAATATAATATCTATATTAATCAGTTTACCATAAAAGTCCGTATCCTGAACTGATCCTTCACCGTCTGTTTTGTATCCTGTCGGACAGTTCGAACAGTGATTCTGGTTCCATTTATTTGTGTATGTTCCTTTCGGACATGCAATACAGTATCCAAACAGATAAACACTTCCCGGTGTACATTCTAAACAGAAATTATTAAAACATTTGAGCTAGCGAAAGTTGATTGAAAACCATTGGCCCAACTCAACAGAATTTTGTGTTTAATCTTTAAACATAAAGAGAATGAAACTTCATACTACAAATAGTGTGTAAGTAACACATGTCTATATTACTAGCATAATGAAATAAACTTCCAGCTTTTAAATCATAAATAAAGAGCAGAACTTTGAATAGTGAAGTTGCAAGAGAGGCAATTTTTCAAATCTCTCCAAATTGATGCTTAAATATTTGAACGCTAAAAGTATCGGGACTTACTAATGACCTTTCAAATTTATACAGGACGCGTCTTTCAAATGGCATACATTCTTAAGTATTTACCTGTTACATGAATGTATACAGTCTTTGATGTGATATTTGTGACAATATTTCCAGCAATGCAACTGTAAAAACCGCTATGCTTAGACGTTGGTTCAAAATATTTAAGTTCATTAGTAGTTTCATTTTGAAGAAGGCTACCGTTGTAATACCACCATATACGCGGATATGGATCTCCTGTGACATTGCAATCAAGACTGAGTTTATCTCCAGACAAGAAGGTTTGATTTTGTAATACCGAATCAAACGTTGGAGGCGAAGAACAAAACATATTTGCTTCCGATAACTCAATTAAGTTAACATTGAGGTCGCTAGTTATCTGGTATATATCCACTGTAGAGAGTGAATCATTCAAAATTAGTTTCACAAAGACGTCTTCAACTTCAACCGTTATATTTCTGCTCAGTTCAGTCTTTTCTATCGATATGTCCGCAAATTGGTCGTAAAGAACAGAAAAAGTATGCTGAAGACAGTCCTGAAAACCGAAACAGTCGTTTGTATCAAAATAATCCACTGTAAAATTTTCCATTTCAAATAGCCAACTTTTTATGATTGGGAGGGAATTGGCTTCGTCCATTCCAGAGTTGATCATGTCGTATGCAACTTCTGTCACGTTTGCAATTTCTGAAATAACTGGATCATCTAGCATGTTTGTTTTCACTTCTTCAAGCACTATATTCAGTTCCTCGGCTGTTAAGTTGTAGTCGCTTTGGGCATATTCCTCGCTGATACCTGAAGTTTCTAGTGTCATATTATCAATAGATGAATAAGATGTGATGTTTTCAATAATATTTCTATAAGAAGTACTCTCATTCATAGTCGCACTTGTTTCAGCTGATATGTTCAGCAAATTGTTTACAGTTAGAGTTAAAAATTCATGTACAGTTTTAAATGATTTGCATTTACTTTCGAAGTATTTTACTCGATCATTGTATTCAGCTGTGTGTTTGCTATCAGTTACATTATTTTCATCTTGGAAAATTGTTGCATTTAGGTACATACTCTGATTATTAGAAAAGTCAAAAGTATCTCTCTTATATAATTTCAAAACATGATGCATCTTTGACATTGCCTTAAACGAAATGTCTCTCTTTTTTCTCTTTCCGAAAACGTTTTTAACTGAATCTAATAATGTATTCACTGTAGCTTTTGCTATTCGCAGTGTGCTTGTCACAGGATGTCTGAAGTCGAACCAAAACTGAAAAGTTGTCCACCCTAATCCAAAAGCCTTAACGTCACAACCTACTTGAAACAGGGCTTTATCCTGCGTTGACAATTCTATTTCAAATCCACAATTGTTTACATCAATCAATTGTTGAATTCCCTGAACAATTAGTTCGAATACATATAACGCTGCCTTAACAGTATATCGTATAACCTCAATCGCCCCTTTTGCTATTTCTAATCCCCCTTTTGCAACTTCTAGTCCAATTTGTGCAACTTCCAGTATGCCTTCCGCTATATAAAGAACAACTCTAGCTTTATCAACTGCAATTTGTGCTATTGTTAAGGCAACCTTGGCAGCTTCAAGTATCATCATTGGAATTCTTACAAAAATCCTAGCAGCCTCTAATGCCAAATAGGCAATATACCTTATACCTCGACATACCAAATTTGCATATTCACAAAACGTATTTGGTACTTTGAACATACAACTGGTCCATCCACAGCAAGGATAAGAAATTCGAACACATCTGGTACGACGTTTACACCATCCACATCGAATTCCTGGCATACACACCCAAGGGCAATCCCTTATCCGACATAAGTTATCGACATTTCTCTGAGCATTACGTAACGTTTGAAGTGCATTTTTAAAAGGAACTTTGGTTTCGTCAACTTTTTTTTTAGCGTAGTCAAGTTTATTTATTGCAACATCAAATTTTGAGTGGAACTTTCGGACGTCATCTTGAGCATTACTAATCTTTGCTTGAGCATGTATCAGTGCCGACTGAGCCATGGTTACGCCATTTTGAGCTGTGGTTAGTCTTTTGTTGGCTTCATCGGCAATTTTCCGTGCAAACATTCTTAAACCATCTAAATAACTACCCTGAAAATCAGAATCTCTTCTAGTTAACGTACCTTGTCCTTCAGACGCTGCCAACAGTTTTCCCTTCACTGAAAATGTTAAATCGTGCCATTTCCGTCCTAATTCGACTGACATTTCCACCCTTGCAAGAAATACATTCCAAACATTTCCCTCTATCGTAACAAACAATCCATTGTTACTGATTAAAAGATCACCAGAAGCTTTTATTCCGAGAATTGAAACACCAATCTGGGCATGCGCAACAAACTTGCCATCTCCTATTGCAATACTTAAGGACCGATGTTTAATATACGACAAAAAGTATCCAAGTTTTATTGGAATACTGGTACTTGCAAGTATTCGAAAAGCAGACTCGCCTTGTAAAAGTTCATAAACTTTTCTAAATTTGCTACACTGCCCTAGACTTTTTGCACCAATTACCAATTCTATTGTCATTGTACTAAAATCGAGTGAAAATAAACTTACAAAACCAGTGAACTGAACACCAAACCCAGTATGTTCCTTAAGCAACGACGAGACCTTGGTAGTAATTTTAGATATAGTTACATCGATATTACGTCCAATTCTCTTAGTTTCAGACTCAATTAAATGAGACAAGTTTGCAGCAAATCCTCCTGTGTGAAATTCCAATTTATCTTGTAAAACAGCTGTGTGTTCTTTTAATGTTATATACCTTTTCCACATTTGTTTGACATCGCTTAGAACAAACTGCAAGTCAGATATTCCAGCCAACCTTTTGGTAAGTATTGCTTCAAGTTCTGAAATCGAGGTCAATATTTGACTTATCGCATCTTCTGAAGTGCTGGAAATGATACCGATAATATTATTCACAAAGGCGTTGATCAGAATTCTATATTTTTCAACCATATTTTTCATTTGTGAAATGTCGTTGACAATATCTATCTGTGTTTCAGCTGATAATTTTTCTTCTGTTGTAACAAACACACGAACACGAAAACCAGCTCTAAAAACCCAGTCACCAACTATAGGTATATTTCTAAAAGGATTGACATCCAAAAGGAAAGTTACAAATACACCAGGTGGGTTAGCCCCGTTTCCACACCAAATTCTATCATTCAAACCTAATCGTTAAAAAGGATATAATTAAAATTTAACAAAATTTAACAAGGATTAATCTATTAATATATATCCTTGAGATTTCTTCCAGTTAAAAGTGGGTTCATGTTTTTAAAGTGTTTTGTGGATTTTTTTGTCTTTACTTTGTCTTTGGTTTATTGCTTTGGCTTAATCAGATTTACTTCGAAATATATCCCACCTGGTATTTTCGGCCTCTGTTTTTATATGTTAGTACGGATAAATTCATCATAGATACCAGGATTAAAATTGTGTATGCCAGACGCGCGTTTCGTCTATAAAAAAAACTCATCAGTGACGAGAATCATGTACAAAGTTGAGAATATAACAGTCAACATATCTGCATTTACATATCCCTGATTTTTGTCTTTAGTTAATTACTATTATTCTTTGCATTGTCCCTTTTGACATAGGAGGAATACATGAACTAGTCAAAAGTAGTCGCGCGCTATCATTACCAATATTACAGTTAATCACGTCAGTCTGAAACTACAAAGTTTTGAGGAATTAATGAGAAAAACGTATAAAATGTCTATTTTTAGCTAATTGCTTTCGTTTGGTTTAAACAATATTTATTCCATAAATCGAATCAAAGCATGATAATATATATATTTGATAATATATTTTTGAAGGAATGACTGTAATATTTTTTCTGTCTATGAAGAAATAACATCAAAAATGTGGTGCACACTTAATAATGATATTTCGAATAGACAGAAAAAATATTACAGTCATTCCTTATAATGTAATTCTTAATTCCATTTTAAGCCTGAGTAAATTATGAAAAAAGTTGATGACGTCACGGTCACATGCCAAAATTATGTCTATGAGCCGATAGGCAAAACACTGTCAGCCAATTAGAAGACGCGTTACATCCAAAATTAAATTATTTACAATTGGATCCAGAAACTAGCAACATTAATCTGTCACTTGTTTTTTCATTTGACAATATTAGAAAATATTGTACTTTAAGTGTGAAAGCCGAACATAATCTGTAATCATTTTGAATGAACTCCCGTGATGAGAGTGTGACTGTTTGCCTAGAAGTTGCATTCAACCTCCCAATTCCATTAAAATTAAATTTCATTGATATATAAATACACACAAACCGTAATCAAATATTTAACAAATATATATGACCGATCATAGTTACAGTAATAAAAAATGTAGCGCTCTATATACAACTTTTCGCGTATCTTTTTTATAAGGTAGCCTACTAAGCTAGATTGTTTCTTAAGTCAACATTCATTCGAACTGAATTGGAATGGGAACTTGGCTGTGTAAAAATAGAGTATGATCTAATACTAACTAATATTCATTATGATAAAGGAAACGATGCTACATTGTAAAGTGTAGCTGTTTTCGATTTCGTTTTTGTTCTTTTTTAAAAAAAAAAAGAGTTGACAGTGAAAAATTATTCGCAAACAAGCTATGAAAATGTCAGTTTGATTGGAAAAAGTATTAAAGCAGAGCTTAACTTTTAAAATAAATGCATCAAAAATGTTTGGCAGATTTAGAAATGAACAAGGCGAATATAAATTGCCACAGTCCTCTTGTACTTTTACGGGGTCTTGTATGACAAAAACCATAGATATGGATTGGTAGGAAACTAATGCCCCACCTGCGGCATAACTTAAATAGTAAATTTCAAACAAATCGTGTGAAAGTCATGATGTACTAAAAACAAACAATGGCAACACTTTTTTCTCTGATTTCTCTATAGATTAACTGGTACGGCAGAAAATTCAAATGTATCTAACCGAAACATTAAATATTGCAATTGATCAAAATAAAATAAAATTAGTGGAGATTGCATGAACAAGAACAATGATATATATGGTTAATTCAATCCACTTACCTCCTATTGATACGTATACGTTCAAACTAGCCATCACCAAGCCATTAAATGTTATTTCAAACACTTCCCCAAACATTGGAATACGTACTGTAGGTGTAACAGTGAAATCTTTGAATTGTATAAGACCATTCCATTCTTCAAGAAATAAATCCAAAAACAGCTAAAAAAGAAGGTATTGATGTAAAAACTTAGCAAAAATACCAAATTTATAATTAAGTACGGTAGATGCATTATTGTTTTGTCTACATTACACTTATTATTCACATTGGATCAAATCAGTTGTTCGAAGGTTAAATCGATCATAAAGTTGAAGAGCATTGGAAAACAAAATTTCAAGAAAGGTAAGTCAAAGTGGTTATGACCAACTATGCATTAGGTGAGAAAAAAAATTGTTTATATGTTTTTTCTCCACTTTATTAAATGTTAGGCTAATGGTTAGTCTTATTTAGAAGGTGCGTCCAGCCAAAATAAAATAAACCTTTATACATTTTGCGCGTCTGAAGGGCTAGATTTGTCATCAGAAACCCGGAAAGCTAAACTTTTGAAAGCAAGAGATGTTTAGATACGTAAAAAATATAAGAGCTATATGATTAAAGGGATACAACAGAATAGTAAGAGTAACATATACAAAATACAAAATACAAAAGTTTATAATTTGGTACACCAGACGCCGGTTTTGTCTGTATAGGACTCATCGATGGCGATTGAATCAAAACAGTTGGAAAGCCAAATCAAATAAAAAGTTGAAGAGCATTGACACAAAAATGAAAAGTTGTACTAACTACGGTTAAGGTAATGCATTGGAATAGGATTCATTTAAACGAATGACAGTTCAGTGTTTGTGTTGTTCCGTTGTTTTCCCCCTTATAGTTGATGTGTTTCCCTCGGTTTTGGTTTGTGACCCGGATTTGTTTCAGTTAAATCGATTTAAAACTTTTGAACAGCGGTATACTACTGTTGCCTTTATTTATATTGTCCACATCGTTAACATAGTTCACATCGATTTTAACATGTCCTTTCTATCTGTACATGTTGTTTTTTTTATCAATAAAACGATATCAATCAATGAGGGTTGATGTTAGTTTAGACCAACCCCATATGCATGTGCATGTCCACTACCAGAAACTTCCCCAGTGTTTGTTTTCAATTATTTAGATTTGTTAGATTTTTAAGGGATTTACTGGTGTCACTCTATGAATTTATTCTTTACTTTTCATGACTCCAGATGATTTGGAATTCGTCATAAAATATGTAGACATTTGCCTATTCTTGTGGACCGTAAAGCTGGGATGAATTTTATCTTCTCTTCAGAACTGTCAACAAAACCTGTCATAGAACAGTTGTATCTAGACAAAATCTACTCTATTCTAGGGTCGGACTGTCCAAAACTGGTCTGATGTAGAATAGTCATGATATATTACAGAGTAGAACTGCCGAACGTTTTTCTAGGATATAACTGCCAGGATCCGTTCTATAGAAGACCTGTCAGGATTATTAACAGATTAAAATTGCTCAAATCTATTCTAGAACAGTTTTATTATTACTAGCAGTCATGGGGAGTTTGCTGGATTTGTTCTGAAACTCGAAATAAATATCAGTATTAATCTGTTCTAGTGTAGAACTGTTACAAAACTATTCTCGGAACTGTCAAAATCTATTCCAGACCTAAGATAGAACCGTTCACAACAGGTTAAGATCTTAGGTAGAACTTTCAGAATATGTTGTAGGTAAGATAATTGAATTACACGATGACTACAATACTTTCTCTGTGAGTGGTTTAATATTTATTATAATCTGGATATGACAATACACAACTTAATATCATTTAATAGATTTCACAAAACGCCAATAACAACTGGTCATTCATATAACATAAAAAATGCAAAATGTTTGGAGATGTACATTTGTGTAAACCGTTGAGATGATGATGTTAGATACATTTACCTGTACTGAAATAGTTCATCACCATTCCAAAGTTCCAGTTCAGAAGTTTTATAGTGAACATTTACACCCTGTAGAAGTGACACTCCAATCCCTCTTGGTCTAAATCGCACTCCACTGTTTGTCATATCTTTCAACATTTCTACATCATCCAATAAATTACGGGATTCTTGTGGAAGCATAAGGAATACTGTGCCACCAGTATTCTGACAGATGTCGACAATAATACAGAACTTATTGCCTTGAAGAGGGCCAGGAACATGTATACGGTTACCATATATATTGATAGCCATATCAGTTCCAAATATAAAAACGCTGTATAAGCGATCATTGAATACTGGGGAACCGGTGCATTCATTAATTGTGTCTATACTGTTTCCATACACAACATTTGTTTTGAGATCGGTCACTGAAAGTAAACCAACTCCAGATTTCGAAAACTGTAACCACGATGGAATTTTGTTTTTAAGACCTTCAAATACTGTACCTAGGAATGATCCAGATGAAACAAAGTCGTAAATGTCTTTAGGAGTTGTACTGAAAAAACATACAACTTTCATCATACATGTCGGACATTTGTGTTCCCTCTGTTTCCTGATATCGAACAGATCCAGTTATTAGTTCAAATTTTCCGGCTTTTATCACTACAATCAACCCTGACAGTGAAACTGGAATGGAAAAATTGTCAACTTCGGCAAAGACAATGCCATAAGTGTATTGAATGCTGATATTTGTATTCAGTCGATACCACGAATCGGTTGATGAAAGTTTGATTTCCAACCCATTCCCAGCTCCTTGACATGACATTAGATTTGTGAAGGCACATCTCTAGGAAGTAGCCTTCGAGCAATGTTATACGTTTGAAATATAGTTGGTTGACTGCTGTCACCTACAAATTCAACACATTCAATATGAGTAAACTCAGTTTAAAAGAAGCCCGAGTCCGATGTCAAAATAGGCAACAGAAGAAACTAAGCATAATGACAATGATACATAAACATAACAAAGGACTACTAGCAGTTACTGACATGCCAGCTCCACAACTTCATTTAAACTGATTGAAAGATTATGTCTTCATCATATGAAAATCAAGCACAATTTATCCAAAATATGTCATCTTTAATGATCTGACAACAGTATCGTAACTATATCCCTTCTGAATAAGTCTGTTTAAAGGTTTGGTTAGCTTTTGAAGTGAATGACGACATTTTCGTTCTTTGTATAGACTATTACCATAAAAGATAGGATGTGAAGTACCTGAACGTATAAGATGTCTGCATGTTGAGTTATATTTACGAATGATGTCCTTGTACCGATGATAAAATTTAGTAGATGTTTTGACTAGTTTGTGATATCGAAAACCCTGGTGTAATAATTTTTCAGTAATACAGAGATTTCTTTCGTTAAAATCAAATACATTGTTACATACACGAGCGAATCGAACAAGTTGAGATATATAAACACCATACGATGGTGACAAGGGAACGTCACCATCTAAAATGGATAATTAACAATAGGAAATGAAAAATCATCTCTTTTATGTTAAATTTTGGTATTGAGCTTCCCGTTAAAGATATAGATATCAAGATCCAGGAAAGGGCAGTGTTCATTGTCAGTATTAGCGTTATTTAAAGTCAGTTCAGCAGGATAAATCTCTTAAGTGTACATACTGAGGTCGACATTATTGATAGCCAATGTATCATCCAAATATCTAAAAGTGTTATTAAATTTTTGGACCAGATGTTGTTTCGATGGGTCTTTGCTTGTTTTAGTCATAAATTGCAACAATACAGAAGCAGGTCCGCAATAAGTGGTGCACAGTTAGTCCCCATTGGAATTCCGATAACTTGACGATATACGGAATCTCCAAAGCGAACAAAAATGTTTTCTAGTAAAAATTCAGGTGCAATTAATCACAGCAGGTCAATTTAAGCTATTTATTGGAAAGAAGAGTACTTCTGTTACAAAAATATGGGCTGTTTTTGACAATGCAATGCACATGCATCAGGTACTAGCATCATTAATTATGCAAAATGAATGAAATATTCAAAACTTTAGCATTTGTGCTAATTTTTAGACGGTTTTTACGTCAACTTTGTACTTGTTTTGCTTTATTACTATTTTGATCTGAGCGTCACTGATGAGTCTTATGTAGCCGAAACGCGCGTCAGGCGTATTGAATTATAATCCTGGTACCTTTGATAACTATTTACACCACTGGGTCGATGCCACTGCTGGTAGACGTTTCGTCCCCGAGGGTATCACCAGCCCAGTAGTCAACACTTCGGTGTTGACATGAATATCAATTATATGGTCATTTTTATAAATTTCCTGTTACAAAACTTTGAATTTTTCGAAAAACTAAGGATTTTCTTATCCCAGGAATAGATTATCTTAGTCGTATTTGGCACAACTTTTTGGAATTTTGGGTACTCAATGCTCTTCAACTTTGTACTTGTTTTGCTTTATTACTATTTTGATCTGAGCGTCACTGATGAGTCTTATGTAAACGAAACGCGCGTCTGGCGTATTGAATTATAACCCTGGTACCTTTGATAACTATTTCTCTAAAACGGAAGTGGCTGCACTTAAGTTCAGTCTTAATATTTAAATATAAGTTGTATTTGATGATGATACATAACATATATGAAGGTTGAGACTGAACACACTTTGTTTTTAGACAAAAACCATCTGAAAAGTGACAATTTGTGGCATATTTGATAGATTTTCCATATTCAAACTTGAATTTAGGCGTCTGTAATGACCAAATTAGTTCAAATATTTTACATTAACTAATTAAATCGACCGAAGAAGACACTTTAGTGTTTAAAAAATGTAAAAAATCTTTCATCAGATGTTCTTCAAATTTTAGGCCAAAATAAGCCCTTACCAGACCTTCTCCTTTCAAATTTATAGAATTAATAACTACAATGCGAACCAACGAAAATCCATATTTTTCTTTCTCTTACTTCATAGGGCAAGCATATTATATTATAAAAATTACAATATGATCTAACCTCTGCAGGAAACACCATTTTCTTCTAAAACTGTATTATCTCTACATTGGCATTGAAATGATCCATTTGTATTTAAACATTGATCTTGACATCCTCCATTTAAGTATAAACACTCATTTATATATACAAACGAATGATCAAATTGAAGATTTATTATCAATTATCTGATAGACAGAATTATATACATCCGTAATATATATAATGAACATTGTTGGAGTTTTCTTTAATAATTTAACAAACCATTCCTTAATAGAAATGAATTATTCATTTATCCACTCAAATCCGAAGAGTATTCACTTGTTACCTTATATCCAGTTATTCTGTTAAATTTGACATGGATATTTTGTGACGAAAATATTTGTAGGACCATTGATATGTTATCAGAATGAATTTTAGTATATATTCTTCAAAACATACGATATGTTTGTTTTCTTTTATCTTCTCTAGATAGGGATCGAGACGGATACAGCAAAACAGTCCATAGCAAATTACAGTACACCTTGACCGTTATTATTACCGTCTTGTTCTTTTACTATCGAAATATTAATTCAAAGCTAAGTTCTTTGCTCACTTCAACATAAAAGGCATTGTATTTCTAAATGTCTTACATCTCGTAAGCGTTATGTATTTTATTTGTCAATAGTTCTAACTGGTTTATGCTAGATGTGAAGATATTAATGGAAATCCTACCTATATTAAAATGATCAATGAAATCATTACTACTTTCTACCATAACAGAAAGTTAAAAAAATAGGATCATTGCGCGCGCGCGGAAATAGACAGTAATATTTTTAGGGGATGAAAGGATACACATAATCATACGTAGTATGAAACTGAAGACTCATATGCAAGCAAAGTAGATAACCGATGAATCCATGCAGGTGTTTTTTGTATTGACATAATGAATATATTTTACGGTATAACAGACCGAATTCACAATGCTCTCCTTCGAATCCTTCTTCACATTTACAGGTGTAGGATCCTGGAAAATCTACACATCTTCCATTATTAAAGCATTCTATCCTAAGGCAGTCATCAATATCTGAAAAGAATTTAAAGGCGACTTTATCACTCAATTTTGGAGACATATTGCAGCGGAAAATCATCGTTATGTGTCGATTTTTTTGTCACAATTGGCTTTACATCAGGCAATTGACCAGGTTCGAAATATTGAACACAATGTGCTTCCTTTTAAGATATTTCTTTCTGTTCTGTTTGATCTCGTTTGATCCTGATGGTAAAGAAATAATCTCTGAGAGTATATGCTCTCAAAATAAATATGTCTTGATTGACCGTTGCAAACTAACAATGTCAGAGGAAACTATTTATTTGTCGATATCACCAGAGTTGTAAATGCATTGAGCATCACCAAGGGTGTAACTGGCGAAACAAAAACTACTTGCCTTTCTTGGTCACCTTATTCGTCCCCAGTTTTAGTGGGGTTTACGTTGTTCAACTTTTATTATCTGTTTTATGTTTTACAGATGACTATTTGTCCTTCTTAGTTCTCATTTATGTATTATTGCTTCTGTCCTTTTCCTTTTTATCTTGCTTATATATCTTTTTGTTTGTTCGTTTATTTTTTCATATAATATTTTTTACACATTTTTTAATTATTCGCAATATCATTAAATCGTTACAAAATATATATGCCTTTTCGAATCGGAAGCCTAGTCATTGTAGGTTCTTGTTGTATTTTAAAGTTTTTGAGACATGTTGGGGGTTTGGTGTGGATGGGGACATCATTGATAATAAAATGAACACTTTAAAAATAGTGTCCGTCCGAAGCGCTTCTGAGGGTTTGTCTAAATCATTAAAGCTCTATCCCGAACATTTGGTTGGGTTCAAAATGTTATTTATTCACAACTATTCTAGACCCGGTGGATTATTAAGAAATTGGCATGATTGCTATGTAGTATGGGTTTTTCTCATTTTTGAAGCCCATATGGTGACATATAGTTCTAACATCTACGATATTTGGTCTACCGTGGATAGTTGTCTTATCTGGAACGCCTCCCAGACTAGTGACTAGATTTCAATCAACTTTTTGCAGATTTTTATAACATAATGCCATTGTTTACATTCTATTTTACGTTTTGATCTGAATGATTTCTGGAGAGTTTCCGAAGCAAAAAACATAGACTTAATCCCTTAATATTATGATTATTACGTTCCCATTCGCAGCTTTTTCTAAACCAGAGAACGGATTTTAAACTTTTTTAGATTACAAAGGCACAGGAAGTACAGGAGCTTATAGAAGTAAGCTTTACTCACATTTGACTAATATTTTTTCAATATGATTTTAAGGATGCCCATAAAACATGTTCTTAACCTTATTAGTGGTGTCAAGTAGGTATAAGGAGAGTGGTATCCAATTTGCGAGTTTGGCACACAGTCTCTTCAAACTACAACAAGAGGCTCATGAGAGCCTGATATCGCTCACCTGTAATTTCAGTTTCAGGCATTTGACTTATTTGTAATCTTGCTTTGCTGAACAATTTTGTCATTTACACTTTCTCTCTTTCTATAATAATATTAAAGATAATACATAACCCAAAACTGTAAAATTTTTACTAAACATTAACTATTACTGAACAGTAACCCAGCAATAAGTTGTCCTATTGGTCTGAAGGTTACCTGACAGGTAGATCTAAACCTGTTTAACACTTTCACCTATGTCAGTTTTGCTCTTACTGCTTTAGTTTTTGAGATGAAAGCCAAAAACTTCATTTGACCCCTATGTTCTATTTTTAGAAACTGCCGCTATGTTTTTAAATGGATCAAATCCCCGAATACAATCTATAAACAAGATACCATAAGGAACATTCAATTAAAGTTTTTAAGTATTTGGCCAAGTAGTTTCAATGAAGAAGATTTTTGAAAAAAGTACTTAGACTTTCATAAAAAATGTAAAAAAAAAACGTTTTCAGGGAAATAACTCCTTAAGGGGTCAATTGACTATTTTGATCATGTTGACTTATTTGTAGATCTTACTTAGATGAACATTAATTGCCATTTATACTTTCTTTATATCTATAATAATATTAAAGGAAATAACCAAAAAACAGTACAATTTCACAAAAATAAACTTAATAAATTTCTAACAGTAATCCAACAATGGGTTGTCAAATTTGTCTGAAAATGTCATAACAGATAGATCATGAACCATTTATCACTTTAACTCCCTTTCACTTTTACTCTAACTGCTGCTTTTGTCCCCTATGTTCTATTTTTAGCCATGGCGGCCATGTTTGTTGATGAATCAAAACTTCGGATACAATTTACAAACTAGATACCCTAAGCAACATTCAGTTAAAGTTTGAAAGTATTTAGCCTAGTAGTTTCAGAGAAGAAGATTTTTGAAAAGTAATAGACTTGCACGAAAAAATGTACAAAATAAACGTTACAAGGGCAATAACTCCTTAAGGAGTCAATTGACTATTTTGATCATTTGACTTATTCGTAGATCCTACTTAGCTGAACAGTTTTGTCATTAACACTTTCTCTATATCTATTATAATATTAAAGATAATAACCAAAAACAGTAAAATTTCATAAAAATAAACTATTTCGGACAGTAACCCTACAATGGGTGGTACAATTGGTCTGAAAATTTCATAGCAGGTAGATTTTGACTTATTCATCACTTTAACTCATATCACTTTTGCTCTAACTGCTATAGTTTTTGAGATAAAAGCCAAAAACTGCATTTGACCCCTATGTTCTATTTTTAGCCATGACGGCCATGTTTGTTATTGGATCAAAACTTAGGATACATTTTATAAACCAGTTACCCTAAGGAACATTCAGTTAAAATTTAGAAGTATTAGGCCTTTAGCTTCACAGGAGAAAATTTTAAATGTTAGCAAACATAATGAACAAATTTTTGTAAAATTGTCTTTAAAGGGCAATAACTCATTAAGGGGTCAATTGACAAGTTTGGTCATTAACTTTTTTGTAGATCTTACTTTGCTGAACATTTTTGCTGTTAACAGTTTATCTTTATCTTCAATAATATTCAAGATAATAACCAAAAACTGAAAAATTTCCTGAAAATTACCAATTTAGTGGCAGCAACTCAACAATGGGATGTTCGGTTCGTCTGAAAATTTCATGGCTGATAGATCTTTACCTATTGAACATTTTTACATCGTGTCAGATTTGCTCTTAATGCTTTAGTTTTTGACATATAAGCCAAAAACAGCATTTGACCCCTATGTTCTATATTTAGGCATGGCGACCATGTTTGTTGATGGATCAAAACTTCGGATACAAATTATAAACTAGATACCCTAAGGAACATCTATTTAAAGTTTGAAGGTATTTGGTCTAGTAGTTTCAGAGGAGAAGATTCTTGAAATAGTTTACGACGACAACGACGACGACAGACGACAGACGACGGACGACGATGGACGCCAAGTAATGGCATAAGTTCACATGGCCCTTTGGGAGAGGTGAGCTAATAAAAAGTATACCTTAATATTTTAGTTACAAGAACACTTACCAGTGCATGTAAACCCGTCACTTTCTAATTGATATTCTGGATCACAGCTACAGACATATGATCCTATGGTATTATTACATGACTGGGAACATTTATTGGATCCCAGGCATTCATTATTATCTAAAAGTATTCAAATTACTACATTTTCACATTTTCTCTTTATACAAATAGCTGAAATGGCAAAAACTGTTTCGCCTTGTTGTTTATTAAACATTTTGATCAGTGCAGCGTACAAACAAAATTAGTTTTTAAATCTTCAAATGAAGTCCAATATTTTTCCATCTTTGCTACAAATCATATGTGTTTTGAAGAACAACGTCGCTGATCTCGTGGTAACGTGCCCATCATGGCTGCAAGAGTTTGATATCGAGGGTAGGGAAAATTAAAGACATAAAATTTGCGTCTCTTTAAAAGTAAGAGAAATGTTTGGGATACACGGAGGCAAAATAATGTGTCTGAATAGAATGATATGATTCAATGTGGACTGCTACTTCGTGAGAATTTCTAATGATGCTGTTGGTTTCACAATGTAATCAGAAATGAATTTATTTCTCATTTTGTTGCACCTTTTGCCTAATGTCTTCCATTTGAAGATAACTCCATTTTGATGTTAATAAATTGGTCGCTTGATTAGAATTTTTATCTGATACTTCTGAATTCATATCAAGACTATTATCGATAATTTGTTTTCTAATTCTTTTAACGTGTTTATAACTTTTTACTTTGCTGTCATCATTCATATTAATTCTATTAATTTCTTTGAACATGTAAATCTTTCATACATCATGTACATCATGCATAGTTAGTTGTATTTATTCTATCGTTTTACATAATAATTATCTTTTATGAGACAATATTAAAGATTTTGTACAAGAGAGTTAGTGTCTTAAGAATATAATACAACATAACTATAAGGACGACAAGGTCGTACGGAAATTTTCCAAAATCATCTGTTACATGATGATAAGTTTCCAATAAATGATTATAATTATGTTCTTTGTTTATTACAATAGCATCGAAATTACATACCGTTACATGATTTTCCAGTTTCATCGAGACCAAATCCTTGATAACATTCACATCGAAAAACAGCATGGTCATTTTTGCATACTTGGTCACATCCACCGTTGTTAGAGGAACATTCGTCAATATCTGTACCAAACAATACAAATTGTGCACTCATATCGTAATATTAATGCATACAATGCGCGTTAACGAGTTTAAATAAAATTTTGAAAACAAGCATATCAACGATCAGCAGAGTAAATTCTAACATCAAAAAAGGAAAAGGAGATTGGATTTTTTAAAAATCTTGTTCAATTTCTTTTTGTCGAAAGAAAGGAATTTCATTTGAAACAAATGAAAGCTTTGGATTTAAAAACAGCATCTTTGAGTATCTGACAGTTGTTCCGTTCCGTTCACATACGCATGTCAGTTATTCACAATAATTTGCAGTGCAATTGTGACAAATATAAATCCCCGTAGAGTCTTCAAAATTTACCAAACCCATACCGTATAGTAAGCTTCAAAATGCACCAATATGACAAAATGTGAAACAATTCAAACCAAAAACCAATGGCCTGGTTTTACTAAACGAAAACCAAAAAGTGAAACAGTGAGCTTCTGCTCACTGATGATACCCCCGCCCAAATATTTCGTTATTTTCATATGAATCGGAGTTCCTTCAGACACTTGTCAAAAACAAGAAGATCAAAGAAGCCAGATTATTTAATTTCACTTTTAGATATATTGATGATGTTCTTTCCATTAACAATCCGAACTTTTCTGATTGGGTTACATTAATGTATCCCCCAGAACTAGAAATTAAAGAAACAACAGACACGGCTTCCTCCGCTTCATTTTTAGACTTATATCTCGAATTTGATATACACAGTCATCTCAGTACCAGAATCTATGACAAACGAGACGATTTTAATTTTAAAATTATAAATTTCCCCCACCTTAGTAGCAATATACCAACTTCACCTGCATATGGGATATACATTTCCCAACTTATTCGATATTCAATAGCTTGCAGCTCCTACTCAGACTTTGTAAAACGTCACCAGTGTCTGAGCAGAAAGTTGATGAACCAGGGGTATGTCAAAGAACGTCTCGTCCTTTTTCTAAAAAAGTTCATCGGAAGGTACCAAGACCTTGTTGATAAATATTCCGTATCAACTTCACAAATTATACATGATGGTCTTGAAGTATAGATTCTGCATACTGACGTTGTTTATCATCTTAACAACGTGTAATATTGTTCTTTCATTTGTCTTTGTTCTATTATTAATATTACTTTTACTGTTTGGGTTGTTTTCTGTGATATCCATTTGACGTGGCTGGGTACTTATACATCCCGTCAATGTGTTTTGTATATGCGACTTTTTGTGTTTCTGTGGTTCTTATAACGTGACTCTGTACTTTAAAAGATCCCGTCATTATGTTATTGTTCTGTTATATGTCATTATGTTATTGTTCTATTATAAATTTGAAAATACTTTGAACGACAAACGACAAATTTATTTTACTCGCGTAGTGGTATTAACCATATGTGGATTCTTAAAAATTCTAAAGAACTTCTGGACAATTTTAAATCTCGGTCTATTTCTGAAATTAATTCTAACATAACTTTTGATTTTTTAACCCTGTATACCAACATTCCCCATGTGAAATTATAAAATTGTTTTGAATAAACATTGAATGACAAACTTTTTTCTTATGTGACGTTTACATTTTCTGACGTCAAACACGCGAAGCAATGAATGTGGTTTTTAATTTCATAGATGCTTTTGTGCTTTTTTGTAAATAATTGTTTGTTTTGAAATTGTAACACAGTGATGACTGCCGTACCCATATTTTGACTATTTTATTTATAATGTCTGTTTTGTTCACGCATCGTTGTAAATAAAACGGAATTTGATAAGACTATCGTACAAGTGAGAGGTTTAGCGCTATAAAACCAGGTTCAATCCACCATTTTCTACATTTGAAAATGCCTGTACCAAGTCAGGAATATGACAGTTGTTGTCCATTCGTTTGATGTGTTTTGTCATTTGATTTTGCCATGTGATTAGGAACTTTCCGATTGAATTTTCCTCGGAGTTCAGTATTTTTGTGATTTTACTTTTTAATAATCAAATTTGTGTGGTTATTTAACTTATATGTACATGTACATTGCAATATTTACATATTCTGGCTCGATGTATGTACAGTACAAAAAAACACAGCACAATGGGTTACAGTATGACTCTCTATCTTTCAAAGTATAACGGACTTACCAGAATGATAATGCAGATACTGTTAAAATACAATATATTTCAATCTTGATTCATAAAACAACCGTTATCCAGAATCACTTGGGAATTGATAATAGGTTATAAACCATCTCAATTCCGGATGAGCTATGAAATTTTTAATAATAACACAGGATGATATAAATACTTTATTATAATGGCATTATTTATTCATTGATGTTAAATAAATATTTTTGTAAACGATTAACAATATGCAGTTTATCTACTTGAAAAATCTCTGAACTTCTGGTACTATTAAAACGCGCCAGGAAATGCACTGAGATATTTGTGTCAGTGGAGTAATGTTTACAGCGTGTGCTATATTGTTGTTGAATATATAGAAAAAAAAAAAAAAGGAACAAAGATGCAGACCCACTATTTTCAGTAATATCTTTCATTCCAAAAATCACTGGTATCTATGATATGCAAGCAAAGAAAAATGGGAACAAATTTTGCTAGGGATTATAATGCAGGAACAGAAACTTAATTTCGATCTCAAGTTTCTTCAAAGGGTCAGAAATCCGTCTACACATTAGTTGTCGTACATTTTGAATACGCCTCTTAATAAATGATAAAAGAGCTTTGATCCATTTTGATAAATTCTCCATTTTATATTCACCTGGCTTTCACTTTAGCAATTTTGTGACATATTCTACAACTATATATATCAGTTACATTTTAACTAAGTCAATATAAAATAATATATCCCTCCATCATTAAGTAAGACGGAATTTAAGAAATTTATCAATCCATCCGGCTTCCGTATAGACCAGTTGATGGCCTGATGCATTCTATAACTTGATATTAATGACTAACGTCTCATTAAGTTGTTAAATGTTTTAACTAACGATAACGAGGTCTCTATTAATAGCATGATACGTTGAGTTCGAAGTGTTTTCCTATTTTCTTTTTCTTTAGGCCATATAAAGGGTTAAGAATCCTCTCTGTTTAAATGCAAGCAATCAGTGTTTCAAATTTAGAATAGTTTTTTTTATTAAAAAAAAAGGATATATTCATATGCTTGTCATTCTGGAGTACATGATACCACCGCTTGTTTTTGATTGAGTTCGTATATCTCAGTCTTCAGTTTTATATGTTGTATTTATCTTGTGGTCGTTTTTCCTTTTTTGCCATGGTATTGTCAGTTTGTTTTCGACTAATGAGTTTGATGATCCCGAAGTTCTTATCGCCTTTTGTTGTCATGTCTTTTAAAGTTGCGTCTTGCACTTTCATAATTTGATACTTATCTATGTATTTTGTCTATGCAAATAGCTTAAAATTGATTCAGAACTTACTGAATAATTTAATGTACTTAATTGAGTATCTTTCGTTTCAGATAAATTAATACTTTAAAACATAGGGAAAGGATATTTTCATAAAAATCAAAGTTCCGGGTACAGTAATTTCTTTATATACACAAATTTGAAGACAGGTCCTAATTCAAAACAACTGATTCCAAGAACTGAATACAACTCATCAAAACTTATAATTTGGTACGTCAGAGGCACTTTTCATCAACATAAGACTCATAATATAAAAAAAAAATATGAACAAGGATTAAATCTAGAAAAAAAAAATCACACAAATACTGAACTCCGAGGAAAATTCAAAACGGAATGTCCCTAATCAAACGGCAAAATCTAAAGCTCAAACGAATTAAACGAGGGATAACAACTGTCATATTCCTGACTTGGTACCGGCATTTTCTTATGCAGAAAATAGTGGATTGAACCTGGTTTAATAACTAGCTAAACCTCTCACTTGTATGACAGTTGCATCAAATTTCATTATATTGACACAATGTTTGAACAAACGTTCAGACATTATAGGTAATATTGTCAAAAATAGGGGTACAGCAGTCAAAATGGTTTGGAATGATACAGTGCATATCTTAAATCTAAGATTGCCTTTTAATCAATAGTATCTAATAGACACGACAATTGCAACATAATATATTATAATATTTATTTGAGTGCATAAAAGTTCTGGAGCTGTAACAGTTTAACAAAAAAAACCGAACTCCAAGGTAAATTCAAAAAGGTATCAATGAGCGTAAAAAGTTTCAAAATCAACTGTTAGGCTTTATCAAATACCACCAAGTGCCAAGGATAAGCCTTCGGCTTAATTTTGAATGGATGAAGTTCGTTACGGAAAACTAAAATGTAAAACAAAGTAAATTTATTTTCATCTTCATCATGTACTGTTTTTTGTCTAATTGTCTGTTTGTTTGTTGGTCTTTTCTGTTTTTATCCATAGCATTGTCGGTTTGTTTTCGACTTATGAGTTCCCCTTGACTATCTATTGCCTCTCTTTTATGAGTTTTAACTGAACAGACAAAGGATGTAAGATATGATAAACAATAATTATAACGTGTAATATGTTATCACGTGACATGGATAAAACGATATTTTTGAATATTTGTCCGTCTTGAATTCAAACTGCAATCCATTTTTCTCATAAAATACCCTTTTGAACACTTGTCCGAAATACGTCATTCAAATACTATTGTCCATTGTATTGAAAAGCATTTATGTTCCTTCACGATGCTGATCCATTTATGCAATGTATGCCAGTTTAACAGATACATATAGATCTAATATATAATTGATTTTAAAGCCTTATTGCTATACAAATGTTTTGTTGTCAAATCTCATTCTATAATATCTTTTTAAGAAAACACAGATGGTTCTAGTTCAATTTATCCGAATGCTTACATCATGTTTCTGGTGTATATCCTTATTTTTAATGTGAATGTCGTTTGTTTCTGTTTATTTGCATACATCATTCGTTGTCTCCTATAGTTGTGGTAGGTGGGTTTACCAGTTTAATTTTCAAAAGGAAAAAAAAATAG